CATCTCATTCCAGTTTCTTCCGACTCCTTTCATTTTCTTCCAATAATGACTAAACAATTATTTAGGTATGTTTTTGGAAGAAAGACCAAAATAGGAATAAAACATAGAAAAAGTACCAAAATATGAGTTCAACTTTGTATTCCTAAAAAAGGTGTTATAATGACTATAATATCAACATATAATACCAAAAGGCATTGTGGAATGTCAATACACAGTGTTTCATTATCAAAGTGCAAACTTCTATTTTGGAAATAAAATCATCAAGCTCTTATTTTGGTATTTTCTCTATGCTTTACTCTTATTTTGGAAAATTTCTATATATTTTTCATATTATTATTATCATTATTATTAGTATTATTATTGATACAATTTGATAATAATTGGTCTTATTGAATGATGAAGGTGTTATTCCTATATATACAAAATACAGACGAGAAGCCTAATAATAGTAAAATAGCAATTATAGAAGCAATAGAATAAAAAATTAAATAATAATATTCTATTTATTATTATTATTATCATTCCTAATGTCTTTCCACAAGCTGATCATTAGTAACGAGGAGCATCTTGCTGCACTTGTACTAGAATGGAGCCAGCAAAAGAAATTTTGTGAGGATAGCCGCTACAAGTGGAGAGATATATCTTCGTTGCATGAGAAAAAAGCTTCAGAATACGTTTGCTAAGTTTTTATAGGGATAGTGTTGGTGATGGGAGGGAGGGAAAAGAGTTTCTTTTTTCCTTTTTCTAGGTTGTTAATTCTCTGCTTGTCTATCACTTTCCATGGTTCAATCTCTTGAAAAAACACAAACAAATGTAGTTTTCTCGTTCTTCAATCACGCACATAATTTTGTTTGGAAGAAAGAGGGATAAGGGATGACGGCTGCTAGGCACGCTCATAATTTTTTGGCGAGAAAGAGAAGGATAAGGGAGTTTTTGGAGAAGAAAGATGGATAAGAGATGCCGGCTATTAGGCATGCTCGTGGGGATCAGTGGTGGCTATATGGCACGCACATAGTGTTTTTGGAGAAAGAGAAACTCTTGCTCTAATACAATGATGCAATTTGATAATTGTTGGTCTTATTGAATAATGAACGTTGCATTCTTATATATAGGGATTACAAAATAGAATCCTAATTATAGTATAATAACAACTATAGAAGTAATAGAATAAGGAAATTAAATAATAATAATAATATTCTATTTCCTACTATCATTATTATTATTATTATTATTTTGTTTTTTATTTTATCTTGGTAGAATAAAAAAATTGATGTACTGTCATAATTTATTAAAAATATCCCTTTGACCTCGAAATAAATTTCATTTAAATAATATATATTTATATATGAATAATGATATTGATGAAAAAAATTTACATTAGAGATCATAAAAAATTAAATAACAAGTAAGATATTAGATAGACAAAATACTACTCCCTCCGTCCTATAATGATCTTCCCGATTCGCAAAACGAAGAAAAATCTCAAGTTTTTTCAATCTATTTTATTTAAATACTGGTATAGAAATAAAAAAATAAAACAAACATATTTAAAAACTACATCAAAAGTTCAACAAAACAAGTGATGACAAGAATATTTTATTTTATCATATAGGCCATGAAAAAACACAAATAAATATAAATTCCCGTGAAGTTGGAGTAGTGCTCTGGGAAGATCATTATAGGACGGAGGGAGTAATTTACAATGAAAATAAAAGATTGAGTGCAAATTTTTATAATTTTTTTAGAATGAAAAACTAAATAAATAATGGAATTTTTTAGGTCAAAGGGAGTATAAGCTTCGGGTGCACTTACAAAGTTTTTAGAAGCGTAAGAAAAGACCACCCCAATGTATACTAGTTCACCGCAACTTGTGGCTAATCCTGTCTCTTGAGTGACTTTCTTGAGCTACACTACTTCCGTCAAACTTATGGGTGCTTATTAATTTGGTACAACCTGAGAACTCGAGTCACATGAGTCTCAATACACTTGCTTTGAGATACCGCATTCCAAAACTTCAACTACTGAGATTATAGGTCCTTAGCAAAACCAACAATTTTTTAGAAGAATTGGTCTTCTCAAACCTCTCTCTCACATTATAAATTGTCTATGAAGAGTAGATAAAGAGATAAAATGAAAGCTCTATGAACATCACAAGTTTTTCTCTCAATTGACTCAACAAAAGCACTAAATGTTATGCGCAAATGATATGAATGAATTGATAAAAAATGATACGACTTGTTTTTTCAAAGGGCCAAAGGGTTCTGTTCATAGGTGTTAAAGAGTGGTGACAAGTGCAAACCAATCTAAATAAGATAACTCAAAGATTTGGAGAACTCAAAAAAGTGAACAACAAGATGCCATGAACATTGTTGTTTTGAGGTTTGAATTTCCTTTTAAATGTTTAACGGTGATGAGATCATCGATGTTTAGAAGAGTACATCAATGTTTGGGTTGTTGACTTTCAAAAATAGAAGGATTTTGTTTTATAGTCCCCCAACAGTCTGTTGAAAATATCGTTGTTCACCATTGAACATCAATGTTCAAAAACTGGCTACCAAAATAGAAATTTTCTATACTTGGCCAAACATGGATGTTCTTGTTGCTACATTGTTGTTTTGTCTGGAAGCCAGAAACGAGGTTTGAATGCCAATGCCAAAAGTCGATGTCAAAAACTAAAGATTCACAAATAAATACAATTGTTGAAAAGATCTTATTATGCTATATAAAGTAAAAACCAAGTATTAAACATAAAAAACAAGCCTTTAGGTTGAAAACCATGGATCACCAAGTGAACAATAGTTTTCGTGGTTTTTGACCAAAACCCATAAACCAAGAGTGGTTTTTGGGAAACAATGGTTTGGTAACCTTTTAAATATACCCAATAGTAAAAAACAATGATAAAAAAGTGAAAACCACTTGGTTAAAATAAAATCCAAAAACCAATGCCGATAATAAATGCCAAATGCCGAAAACCATCGACGAAAATCAAAGGTTATTTTTTATTAAACTAAACATTTGGAAAATCTTTAAATGTGTCTAGAAGAAAAAATCAAATATAAAAACTCGACAACCATTTGGTTAAAATCAATGCCAATAACCAACACCGAAAACCTAATGGCGATAATCGATGCTTATGGTTTTTGTTGGGCAAGATGCATGTTGGAGACCGTGATTTTATGCATATGAAAAATAACTTATGTTGATCAAAAATCCATGAAAACTTAAATGTTGTCCTTATAATGAGGTCTACCTAGTGACCTACATCTTGGGGTCTTCAGTCTTGGACACTTTAGTACTCCAATGCTTGTCTTCATATATATCCTTGGCATAATCTTCACTTCAAGCACACATCCTTTGTCATCACCACATGCGTTTCTTCATTTTTAGTGAACCACAATATCTTACTTACTTCAATTTTTTTCGTTCATTAAAACCAACACTTGGAAATCTTACTAAAATACCAATGCACATATTAATGATTTCCACATGAGTTCTAACAAAAAATTAGTATAAATAAAATATGTAATTAGTTAAATATAATAATCATTTTAAAACATTTAATTTTATTTTTCTAACATCTTCTCATTTCTTCTAACTCGTAGTTTTTCTAACTCTTTCTAGTTTCTTCCAACTTCTTCCAATTTTTCAACCCCCTCTAGTTTCTTCTAGTTTTTCTAACTTTTTCCAATTTCTTCCAACTCCTTTCAGAATTTTCCAACTCCTAATTTTTCTTTTAATAGCCAACTCTGTAATTACAATCCAAAAAAACATAGCCTAAGAAACACTAAAACTACGTGACCTAAGTACCCTAAAAGTGTAGTGTTTAGGAACATTATTTTTTATATGAATTGGTATATTTGAAGTGTGGTGCTAAATATACACCTCATATTGTTAAGCTTGTCTACCATATTTATAAGAAATTGACTAATAAGTGTGCCTTATAGAGTTATGTATTTGCTTTCTTTTTAAAATGTACAATAAATGCGGGGGATCGAAAGGCCACTGATCAGCTACAAAATTATTGAGTTTTGAAAAAAGGTTTAATTGACCGAACCTGATGACAATCGAACCCAAAATGACTTGTTTAAATTGAGTCAAACCCAACCAACCCCGAACCTGACCATCGACCAAGCGTGTACATTTATATGAAAAATAATGTAGGGAAAGTGACTTCATTCCTGAGCCGGTGGCAGGAATGAAATCTAACCACAAGCTAAATTGAATCAAATCTCTCCCAAAAATATCCGAGATTGAGTTAATGGAATTGTCGAAAGCCAGAAACAATCTCGCCTGAACATTTCAGCATCCATACAAAAAACAAAAACAAAAAAAACAAACAAACACAAAAAAGATTCAAGAGGAAGACACTAACCTGGATTGGGTTGAAAGCGACGGAGAGGGAAAGGGAGGATCCAGTGGCAGAAGCCATTCATGGATCGATGAGAAGAGAGAAAGAAAAAGACGGTAGTTTTCTAGTTTTCCAAACGTGAGATTGTCTAGCAGCTTGCAAAAGAATCTAAGCAAATTTTGAGGGAAAATCTCACATTTGGAGCATGGATCTTAGGTAAGCATATTTTGGGTGAGAATCCAACAAATTCCATAGATTATTAAAATTCACGGATTATTGAATACTTAAATAGTTTTTAAGACTTTTTAAAATCCTTACTTAATACTTTAATATTTTTAAATATTTTTAAAAATCCAGATTGAATATCTCAAGATTTTTTAAGACTTAAAAATCCAGATTGAATATATTCAGATTTTAAAAGACAAAAAAAATCCTACAAACTACTTATTAAATATACCCCCCTAAATTCGAATTGACATTCAACAAAAAAATAAAGCATAATCCTCCAATTCAACATAGTTTAGTATGTTGAATTGGTTTAAAACTTTTTTAAAATCCTGGTTTATAAATATGATGCCTTGTTCATTCTATGTGTTCAAGTTTTATTTTGACTATTGTTCATTTCACTATTTTTAAAAATGTTATTTTGCAGTCCAAGAAAGTATGACACTCTAAATTTCGTGGGAGTTGACAAGTGAATTAAAGAGATGGAAGCATAATATGTTTCTTCTTCTTTTAATAGTATTCCTTGAATACATGGGGAAATTTAAATAAGCTATCCTTGTAGATTTGTAATAGAATATATACTTTTCTTTCTACGATTTTAAGTTATTCCCAACATGTAACTATTACACTAGTTGATTTTGATGGTATTTTAATAGTGAGCATGATGTTAAACAACGTTTTATGTAGTTTCTAATTGCACATGTTTCCTACTAATCTTATTAATAATTTTACAAAAATAATGTTGCTCATTAGAAATTTGAACCCTTTAATAGGTGAAAGGTTAGGATGGAAATGTGATGTATAAAGGTATACACAGTTACTAATTGCAATATTTCCCTTTAATCCTACAATTCCACTACACGGATGTTGCTCATTAGCCGTAGATTTTAGCTTCGCCACGACTGTGACACTAGTCGCGATGAATAATCCCGCCATTACTGGTGGGCTTTATGCAGTTGGCAATTCAAAGCAAGAGGTGCTCAAGGGATTATATTCAATTTTCATTCCTGAAAAGTGTGTTGGGAGGAAACTATACCAAACATACGGTCTCTTGAACTACCAGACATAGACTCTATCTTTTACCACTTATCCATGATTAGAGTCTAATTTACCTCCTTTTAGGTGACCGTCTAGCCAGTTTTGAGGGCCCATAAGGGATAGGTTTTCATCTTCTTCTTGTTTTTGAAAAATTATGATGGAAATTTGGTGTATATAAAGTAAATGTAGGCCCCATTTTCTTCAACTAATATATTTTTATTAGTTATTTGTATTGGCATATCAGATTAGTAATATCTTTAGATTTTACTACAATTTAGAGAAATCAGATCAAACAAAAAATACAGATCTGAACGAATCAATTCACACAAAGAGAACAAAACTATAGTTGTTAATTTCACATGTTTTTATTCATCCTTTTTATTTTTTTAGTAAAATTCCTTATATTTAGCTTCGCCACAAATGTGACATGGGAAGCGATGGCTAACCTCAAACTAAGGTCACTGAGAGCATATTTAAAGTAGAAGTAGATAATTATTTCACGGGTGCAATGTGAAAGCTGGACCAGACTTTAAAGAAAATGTTTATGAAAATTTTCAAAAAAATCGTTTGAAATGCTTCCAACTATTTTTTGAATAAATTTTATTAGCATGTTGTATTAATATAAATTTTTTAAAATTGAATGCATAATTTACTCTTACAAAATAATATAAATTCGAAAAATAAAATGCAGGAAATTAGTAGATGAAACAATTACATCTTGATAAAATGAGTGAAATAATTAAAGTGATGAAAAAACCATAGTTCCGCAACGAGTCTTGAAAGCCGTCTTCTCAATACTATTTGTAACGTGTCTTGAAAGCCGTTTTCCCAATATTCTTTGTCTTAATCAGGAATTTTGTGGTTCTCAATCGAAGGTCAATCTTAAAATAAAACATAATAGCTTTTCGCAATTGATCGAATAGAGTGTCATTCCATGTAAGAGGACAATGGTTCTTTAATGTCTCATTGTTAAGCTGTCGGTAGTCCATACACGGCCTCATATATTTATCCGTTTGGGCAAATAGGTACTTCCCATGAGGACACACTAGGTCGGATAAAACCCTTATCCATCAATTCATGCAGGAGAGATTAGTCTCGTATTTGGCACAAGATAAGAAGAGAACTCTGCTTTCCTCGTGGGAGGTAGGCAAGGAAATTCCTCACGAAATATGTCTTGAAATTGTTGGAATGTTCCTCTTGCCAGGAGGTACTATTTGAATGTTGCAAACGTTACACAAAAGGGCTTCACACTTGTTGTGAATGAGACATTGTTAGGCTTTCAAGCAAAACATTCATAGACACCAAGCTATGATTCTCTATAATGGAAAAACTTTTCTTACGGCTGCCATGACCATAAAGATGTTAGATCCTCACTTCCAAGCCTATGAGGTACGAGTTCGCATCCATTTGCCAACTGTCTCGTTATTAAAAAAATCTAGCCTCCTCCACAAGAGTGGTCAAGTGGGTTGTATTTTAAAGTTAATATCAGATTATTATGGAACTAAGAATGACCTAGCTAAGAAAGACCAAGCATTGGTTGACTTCATGGTCAAATGTAGGGAAAGTGACTTCATTCCTGAGCCGACCCTAGATTAGGGGCAATAAGTGGACGATCATCATGAATTAGTCCTCCATCACAAAAGATTGTGGAGGGAGGATCATCTTTGTTTCACCTGAATGTTTGTATTCTTATCATGCCATAAAATTTATGTTTAAGGTATCAAACAATGAAGCAGCATATGGGGCGCTTCGGAGTGGCTTGAGGATAGTAAAGGGCATGAAGATAGAAAATCTTCACATAAAGTTTGATTCACAACTTATAGTTGTCCAAGTAACGATGAGTACGAGACAGAAAAAAGATGAGATTGTATACAGAGGTGGTTATCGAGCTGTTGCAACAATTCAAAGCATTTGATATGAACCAAGTCCCACGAGCTGGCAATTCTAAGTTTGATATATATATAGTGTCGAGGTTAAGTGAAGAAACTTATGAGTATTTGTCTAAATTAGAACACATGGAAAAAATTGGGGATGCCAAGCATATACAAGCCACTGCACAGCCTGTATAAAATGTTACCATTCGATGATAACATTTCATAACGAACTTGATAACATATAAAGACTTAGACATGCTAACTTATGATATGATCATGGCAAGGTTGGTCACATGAAGAGCTCTATGTTACGTCAATGGGACTTTGCCCTATTGGTTCCACGAGCCACAAGTTTAAAAAATCATGGACGAGATACATGAAGGAAATTTGGCATCACATTAGTGGTCCTACATCATGGATAGAAAGATCATACTTCAAAGCTAATTCTTGCAAGGGATGGCAAGGGATTGTGGCGAACCTGTTAAGAAGTGCCTAGTTTGCCAATATTTTCAGACGATGCGCGACTAATTAGGGACAAATTATATGCCAATCAGCTCATCAATTCCCTTTACAAAGTGGGGGATCGATCTAGTGAGGTCTTGCCCCAAGAATCAAGAAATTTTTGATGGATTATTGTGGTCAACGACTATTTTACAAAATGGGTAAAAGCCAAGCCAAGCCGCTCACAAGTATTACCGAGATTTAAGGTTAAAAGTTTATAGCCAAGAAAATCTTGACTAGGTTTGGTATACCAAATCATATCGTTACCTACAACGAAACACAATTCAAAGGTGCATCATTGAATGAGTTACTATTAGAATAGGGGTAAAGCTCAATTATTCCTCAGCTGGCTATCCAAAAAAATGGCCAAGTAGAAAATACCAACAAAATGATCATAGATGGAATAAAGTGTAAGTTAGATTCATATGGTGGTACTTGGGTGGGTGAGTTCCCCAATGTAATGTGGGCGCATCACACTACTCCTCGTCGCGTAATAGGTAAAATTATGTTTTCCATGTGCTACGGTTTTGAGTCAAAAGTCCAGACAAATGATATCATCCCCACCAAAGGGAGACAACATATGATCCCCCAAAAAATGACGTATCCATGACGGTTGAGCTAACCTTTGTGGACGAGCATCAGGAACAAGGATTCTTGGAGGCAAAAAACTATCATTGCCAACTGTAGAACTATAATATTGAGAAAGTCAAGTTGCAACCATTCGAAGTTGGTGATCTTATTGCTTGGCATGGTGCCTTTCTTGAAAGGGAATTTCTCACTAGAGGAGTTAGTTGGAGAAAGATAGATCTCGAAGAAATTGGATATGATGATAATGAGATCGCACATGATAGAGAACACCAGCAAGATGAATAGTTTGACCTCGGCAAGATAAGAACATGCAAGAACTCTGCAGGTCATCTCGAACACGTAACAAACCTGAATGGTACGGTTTCCTCCTAACCTATGAAGGTGACGTGTTACTTATTGAGAATGGTGAGCCTCAAACCTACCTTGAGGCAAATAGTTGCCCTATGGTGAAGAAATGGCGTGAAGCAATGAAATCTGAAATGGAATATATGTACACTAATCAAGTTTGGAACTTGGTTGAAGCACCTGAAGGGATTAAAACTTGTTAGGTGCAAGTGGGTCTTCAAGAAGAAGACTATGTGGATAGAAAGGTACATACCTTTAAAGCATTATTGGAAGCAAAAGGTTATAAACAGATTCAAGGCGTTTGATTATGATGAAACGTTTTCTCTAGTCATGATGATTAAGTCCATCTAGATACTATTGGGTATTGCATCATACTATGACTATGAAATTTGGCAGATGGATGTCTAAACAGATTTCCTTAATGGAAATATTATTGAGGATGTGTACATGACACAACCTAAAGGATTTTGCATCCCTAAAGAATCTACCAAAGTATCCAAGCTGCAACATTCAATCTATGGATTGAAACAAGCTTTGCGGAGTTGGAACATTTGGTTTTACGAAACTATAATTAGTTACGGGTTTAAGCAAAACAATGATGAGTCATGCATTTACAAAAAGACCATTGGGAGCGCCATGGTCTTCATTGCATTGTATGTTGACGACATACTACTCATGGGGAATGACATTCCTACTCTCATGTCTGTTAAAACCTAGTTGAGTAAGAATTTCTCTATGAAAGACTTGGGAGAGGCTAGCTACACTCTTGGAATTAGGATCTATAGAGATAGATATAGGAAGTTGATAGGTTTAAGTCAGAGTACATATATAGATAAAATCCTTAGGCGATTTAAGATGAATGATTCCAAAAGAGGTAATCTACCTATGCTCAAATCGATAGGGATGACTTCAAATCTTAGGAGGGATATGTTTATTGTATGAATGGCGGAGTTATGTGCTGGAAGAGCTACAAGCAAGATACTACCGCAGATTCAACTACAGAAGCAAAATACATGGCGGCCTATGAAGCAGCAAACGAAGGTGTTTAGATGAAGAGTTTCCTTGTTGATCTTGGAGTGGTTCCTAGCATCAATGACCTTATTTAGTTGTATTGTGACAACAATGGGGTGGTTGCACAGGCTAAGGAATCGTGGGCTCACCAGAAGACCTAACACATTGTCAAACACTATCTCAAACCGATATGGATGACTTCAAATC